TATTTTTTACTATCTTTGATAACCATTAATGTATTTCAATATATATTTTCAGGGTCAAAAATTATATAATGCTTCTCAATCCAAGTCTGAAAATATTAATCGTGTTATGATAGCATATGCTGATGACTATAAAGAGGTGAATAATGTACAATCTGGAAACATTGTTGCTGTTACAGGACTAAAAGTATGTTTGATATAATATATATTTTAGGAACTTATTTTTACTAATTTAAGTTACATATTTTATAATACTGTATTTACGTTTTAAGAATACTGTTTGTGGAGATTTACTTTCTAGCAGTAACAATGCTGTAAAGAATGCTTTAACAAAGTTGTCAAAATCAAAAAAAATGACTCAAGATGAATCAATTGAAATGCTTGGAGTTGAAATGAATATACCAGATCCAGTGTTTTTTTGTTCTATTGAACCACCATCTCAAGTAAACTAATTAATTTATATTTTTAGCTAACATTTATTCATTTAAATAATTAGATGTACTAAAATGAAAAATATGTATATCTTAATAATATTATTAAAGGTTTTATACTGATAAATATGTATCAATTTTAAATTAATATATTTATCATAAAATATTCTAAAATTGTATTTAAAAACCCAAATAAAAATCATTAAGAAGGCACTTACATGTGTTGTCTTTGTCTTACAAGCGCATAATGCATAATTGCAAATTTACGCTCAGCGAAAGCTTTAATTCAGTTAGTTTAAACATTAGAGTGAATTGTCTTATTATGAAACTTAATGATAAGAACATTATCTGTGTTCCTAGTTTGGGTTTTTACAATAATTCGAGTTTTTAGCAAATTTTGGGTATATAATGTACCATAAATTAATAATACTTATAAATTGCTTAAATGAACTATCATAAAAAGCCAACATAGAAATACAGATTATGTTCCTACCACCAAGTTTCATAATAGGTCGATTCTCTAATTTTTGAACTAATGGCATTAAACATGATCTGTTGAGCGTTCATTTGTTATGTTACATGTTTGTAAGACGGAGAAAATACTTGCAGGTATGGCGTTCTCTTAATAATATTTTTAAACATTTCAGTTTTGACATTGCTATTATCATTACTTATTTCATTTTAAAATTGATTTTAAGTTTTCCGTTCAACATTTTGTGTTTAGACATGTTTTAATCATGAAATAACTTATATCAGGCCATCAAGGGCCACCAATCTTTTCCAACAGTGTGAGCCACACAAACAATTTTAAGTATCTGATGACCAATTATTATTTATGTATATTATTAATATTATTACTTGGAGCATTAATAAATTGTGTATTAAATATTAATATTCTTCTTTTATTATTTCTCCATTGGAATATTGTATTTTTTCTTTTCTAGATGCTAATAAATATTTAACTTTATATATAAAGCGTAAAAGTTTGTTCAAGAGTATGCACATGATCAACACTGACATTGTTATAATTAATTTTTACTATGATTTACTAAAAAACCTTTAATGATTGTTTAGACCCCTGCCTTATATACTATATTTAACAGTTCTAATATTATTATAATGTAGTGTTATAGATTAAATAAACTTATTTATCTTATTTATTAATCGTGATTGTATTCACATTTAAACCATTATAAGATTGTAATAGACATTTATTGATTTTCTATTAGGCCTATCAATTAGCTTTGGATAATGCATTAAGTCAGTTACATAGAGAAGATCCTAGCTTGAGAATTCAATATGACGAGGAGACCGGTCAAACAATTTTAGCGGGTAAATTTTATTAATAGTTATTTCATTTAAATACCTTAGAATAAATTTAATTCATTTTTAGATTAGGCATGGGCGAATTACATCTAGAAGTAATTGGTGAACGAATAAAAAGTGAATTTAAAATTGATATTGATCTTAGTCGACCACAAATTTCTTACAAAGAAGGATTAATGTCTGAAGCAAAAGAAAGTCATAGACTTGATTTGAAAATTGGTACTTAACTATTAATTTATAATATTTTTATCAACAAAATACTATTTCTCATATAGTCATATGTTATATTATCTTGTAATTAGAAAATATTAACATGTTAATTTCTTTCATTCTCAATGCTGTTGTTGTAGTTTTATTTTAAAAATATAATAAATATAAATTTATTTTTAGGTTCAACTATGCATAGTGTTTATATAGTGATGTCAATATTACGACAAGAATCTAATAAAAAACTTTTATCATTGGATCAAAGTCAGGATAATGCATCCAATACTGCAGCAATATACTTAAACCGATTAAATATTATAACATCAAGTGCAAAAGCCTCTTTAGCACACGGTCCCAAACTTGGATGTCCTGTTAGTAATTAAACAATATGATATATTTTTTTACTAATACCTGTATTTTTATTTTTTAAAATAATATTTTTCTAAACCTACAATAAAGTTATTTAAATAACACATAATAAATTACAACTATTCTACAACTTATATATTTTAATATAAACTTGTATTAAAGTAATCTATTCGAAACTATCAAAAATATAGTTAAAATTTTATTATTAAGTTCAGGTTAGAAATTAAAATTGAAAGATAATTGGGTACTTATTATTCAATTTAAAACTTTAACTATATCAGTAATTTCTTACTGTTATTTAAAGCACTGAAATTAAATTAAAAAATATATTATTATTACAAATTGAGTATGCAGTAAAATGTAGAATTAGATGTAATAACTTTTAAAATATTTTATTTTGATATTAAATTTATCATTTCAAATAATATTCTCTATTTTAAATTTTTTAAGAGATGTCCTTACTTGTTTTTAAACTTTAAAGTCTCATTCTAAAAAATATTAGTATGAGTTTTTGAGTTCTTTTATTGGATAGACACTTAAATACTAATCTTGTGTAATATTTACTAATATTATGTATTTCACAAGTAGGAACCAATAATTGTTTTAAACTTGTATATGCTAAAATAGTTTGTTTATTTTTTGATTTAAGGTAATCAATGTCCGGTTTATACTTCATTGGTTAGAAATTGGTAAAGGAACATCAGATACTGTTATAAGTTCGGCTGTAAATCAATGTGTTCAAAAAGTATGTATTCCGCTGTTGACTTTAACTTATTTTTTTCAATATTTTTTATTAATTCCTATTATTCAAAATAGCTACTGAAGTCTGCTAATACAATTTTACTCGAACCTATTATGAATGTTGAAGTTGTGACGGATGATGATCATTCTTCTTCTGTACTTTCTGATTTTGGAAGAAGAAGAGGATCAATTCAAGATATTTCAACTAGATCAAATTATAGGGTAATAAATTATTTATAATCTCCTCAATTTGTTATTTACTTGTTTTGTCTAAATTGTATTTTAGGTAATAAATGCATTAGTTCCTCTAGCAGATTTATTAGGCTATTCAAAGGATCTTAGAACATTCACATCAGGTACAGCATCATTTTCTATGGAATTTCATTCTTATCAAGAAGTGTCCGCCAAAGATGAAGGAGAAGCAGTTAAAAATATTACTGGTTTTTATCCATTCTAACTGTGTATAGTGTTAAATAAAATAAAAATTGTTTTGTATTGGTAAAAATGTATTTCATATTAAAATCAGTCATCTAACACATCATAAGATATAAAGGTACCTCAATTTATTTATTATTGATTGAGACGCAATTCATGCAAACAATTTTATAGTTTTTAGAAAAATAAATGGTACTTAGATTTTACTTAATAAACCTTTTACACTAAAAATAATGATCCAAATTTGAGTTTTGGCATGCTGATGCAGCCAAATTCAATTGTAAATATAAATCATACCCTAAAAATAACAAATCCTTAGTGGCTATATTATGATTAATTCTGAGTAATTCAAGTTTTTCAAAAAAATGTTCAAACAAATATTTCTGATTTAATCATCAAACTTAACTTTACTAATTCATGGGCTACTAAATCATTAAATAAAATGAGAAAAATAAAAAATGCTTTGTACACCAACAATATGATAACGTCACACTAGTATAATAAATGATATAGTACTTAGGTATATCTAATACATAAGTTTATAAAATGTCTAAATAAACATATTTTTTTTAATGTACCCATGCATAATGGCATATTGAGCTATTCTTTTTTTAAGGATACTTATTTTTTACTCAAATTATGTGCCTCTTTATGGTATGTATTGTGTAAACTAAATAATTAATTATTTAGCATTATGTATGGTGAAAATAAATATTACAAGCAGTTTAAAACTATCATTAATACACTTACCTTGATGTATAATATGAGTCCATAATCATAATACAATAGCGCAACATTGGAATAATATATGATTATCCATCATATTAGTAGGTACCTATTTTAATTTATTTTACCAGCTACTATATGTACAATATAGTTACTTACTACTAATTGTTATGTTTTGTACTGAACATAGTTTAACAGCATAACTTTGTCGTTTGTGGTTCAACAGTTATATATCTACCATATTTATTGTAAATTTATTATTTACACACAATTTAGATAATTTGGTATAGTACTATAGTGTATAATATTATAACCTATAATTGAACACTTTCTTTAATAATACCTCAATGTGGAACAATAGAATAATTTATAATAAATTCAAATATGACATACATAGGTAGATAGAACTGAATTCCAAAACCTAACTATTACAAAATACTAATTTATAATTGAAATAAATTATCCATGTACTAACTAATGGCTATTCAAATTAATTAATTATTGTTTTCATTTATTGGTAACAGGTATCTAGATATTCAATATTTCATTCTAATATAATATAGCTATTATAGTAAATTGGAAAATTTTATTTTTTCATAAATTTACGTTGATTAATAAATTATAAAATATATAGTAGATATGACAAATATCATAAATTTATAATGCATTATACATTAATATAATTTATCAAAATTTTCAGTACGATTATTAAATAATGATATCCGTTTTAAGTTCATCACATAAAAATATAAAATGATAATCGATAAATAATTTTGAATAATTAATGTATTAGGTATGTCCGTAAACCTAAACAGTTTAAGCGTATACAAACATCTTTCCACTAGAACCTATATTATGACTAAATATATTCAACATTTTTTGAAAGTTTACTGCTATATTGATTGTGTTGAATAAAATAATAATAATTAAAAGTTGTGAAGTTATAGTATTATCATCTTATATTAAATTGGTGTAGTAAGTACTGCTGCAGATGTGAAAAAAGCACATTTTAAATCGTGGTAAATAGTAATAACTAATAAGTAATAAGTTATTCGCATTTGATGAATTTTATAGTTATTATTTAAATTATTGTTTAGTTGTATAAATATCATATTTAATTACAGATTGAAAATTAAAATTGTTTAAAAATATATTTATATAATGTTCCTATTTGTCTGTAAGCAGATCAGAAGTTAAATGACATCTTGTGCGTTCACAGCTATCCATTTGAGGTACGAAGTGACTTTTGTGTAAACACCGGGGTATCCGACTTCTCCACAACTAATACCCCAAGACACTACTCCAACATTAGTCCATTTTCCATCTTGTCTTTGCATTAACAGCGGACCACCAGAATCACCCTGAAAAAAATTGTGATTGTAATTATATTATTATAAGTATAAAATTTAAAAAATGTTTTGAAGTACCAAACAGGAATCTTTGCCCCCTTCAAATGATGCAGCACAAAGATTTGTTTTGAAAATTGGTTGTGAAAATGCTGAAACGCACTGGTCATGTTCCCATATTGGTATTGCCACTTCTTGGAGAACGTTACTGACTTCACCACCAAAAACTGTTTGGCCCCAACCTAATTAATAATTATGAAGTTAATTAATGACACAGTTGTAATCTGTAGGTATATATTTTGTACATATTTGAGATGCCTCATTGCGAGATATTCCTTAGTGGGTGTTAGGTGATGCAATCATTTGTTTATAAATTAAAATAAAAAATGACATATAATAACTGCTTTAGCCTATAGAATGTAAAGAATTGGAAATTAATGTTTAAAAAGTTCATATCAAATTATTTAGAGTGAAGTTCTAGGGAAGGGGTTGTCTCCTTGACCCCATGCATCAGCCTTTGTATGGGAGCAATGCTTAAAAATAATTGAGTGTATTATAATATCTTTTATTATATCTAACCTAACTTACTAATATCTAGTAATTATATTGTTTAAAAATAGTTTTCTTTTCCATTCTCATGCTTACCAGCAACAACAGCAGTTTTTTTATACACTTCCATGTTTGTTTTAGGCAAACAAATAGGCCGAATAAACGAATTGTAAATTGTAGGTCTATTTAACCTCAATATGGCGATGTCATTGGCATGTGTAGCTTGATCATAGTCTGGATGTATTCTTATATCTGTTACTCTGTAGTCAATGTATTGTGTCTCATTATTTGAGGTAAAATCGTACTCACCGAGTCTAACAACAAAATTTTGTTTTGTAAATCTGAAAAATATATGTACAAAGTTAAATGTGATATCGTATTGGTCGTAATGCAACATATTGAAAAATTAAAATATCTAACATTTTTTCTAGACTTCACAATATAATCACCATTTAGCAATAGCATAAGAATTATTAATTACAATAACATCACTATTACAAATCATTATTATGATGATTAAATTTTTATTTAAGCAGCTTTGCTAACAATTGGCTGTAGATCAACAATTTAAGGAACTTGTGAAAGAAAAAAAAAATAATCTGAAGCAGTTTCGTAGCCAGGATATTTTTTCTTGAGGGGGGGGGGCTAAGGTTTAAGCCCTAAAGCTCCCCCACCCCTAGCTACGGCAATGATCTTATACGTTAAATGAAGACCATATAATGCCATATATAATTAATACACAATATTTCAACTAACATTTTTGCTATTTATTTAATTTTCTATCAACTTAGAAATACTTTTTAAAACAATGAGCAGCAGTCAATACAAATCGCCGATTAAGTAATGCCCCACCGCAGAAATTCATATAGTTTGTTGTCTCTAAAAACACAGCCATCCATGGCCAATCACTGGCTTTGGCATTTTGCACTTTTGTAATTTTGGATATAGACTTAGTGTTTTGTCCACATTCCAGTTCTTCCACTAACGGTTTTATGGGTTCTGGTGCTGCTCTATCTAGAACTTTGTCCAAGTCTGATTCATCGTCGTCATTAGTCATTCTTCTATCTCTTTTTGACCGAATAACTTTGTCCACAGGGCAGCAAAAACTCTTTGATCTGAGTAAAAAAAAAGAAAATTATAATGTTTTATTTTAGAGTCAAAAATGTTATTCTAAACTAGAAAGTTAGAACAAGAGTGATATTATGAAAATGGTCTATTGCCTTAATAAAGAAAATTTAACATTGTTACATTGGGATGACCAATATGGCATGTCTCTTTTGGAATTGAACTGTTGTTTTTTTGAGAGTCCCAAAAGCTTTAGAACAGGACTTTTGGGCCTTTTTTTAAAAAAAAAAAAATGGTACTGTTGTAATCCCATTATCTCCATATTTCAATGTATGTGTACAGGTGTACTTTGTACTTTCTAGGGTCAACTGTTTTCACAAGGCTTGCCCCCAAATATGGTCGAACCAGCTTAGATTATTCTTTAAAGAATAACACAAGTGGGTATCCAGTATCCACCTACATATAATATTTTTTCACCATCATAAGGGGTAGCAATGATAAATATACCTATTATGTTTTATTAAACGGTAGGCAGTAGGCTCCTACATTATAAACTATAAATTAATTAGGTATCAGGATATTTGAGTGCCCAGAACATCGTTGATATTAATTGTCAGGATAATCGGTGTTCTACTGTATTTCAGAATTAAGCAATAAAGAAAATTAACTAAAAAATATCCTTCAATCAGTGTAACACCAAATTATTAAAAATATTCATAGCAATATTTGACCTAGGTCCTATGAAAAGTTATTTAAGATTAACTGCTGTACATATTGTATTGTTGGTAACTTTAAAATTTGAATTATGTTTTAACTTATAATATTATATGTATTATCTAAAAATGCTTGTTATTTAAAATATTTAATGGCCGCAGTTGCCAAGGATTATCTGAAAAAAACAACTACACATATTTACTGGCTAGTGGTATTATAGTTGTTCAATGAAAAAATACTTACACTTGTAAAATAGCATAATGCTTTATGTAGGTAATTATTTATTATTATATGTATTTTCTATATTTTATTTTATTTTATTTAGTATCAAAATATCTTTAGTTGAGATTTTTGCCAATCTTATAATACAGATTGTAACAGTATACCTACCCACTTATTTAGTTATTTTATTAACTACAATTACAGTAGGCAATAAGTAACAATTTATTAAAATATTTAATTAGTTTTTAATTTTACAAAGGTATCATTTTTAAAGGTTAAAAATATAGTTTATGATCTAAGTAGGTATATAACATTCTGCCATTCATGACTATGAAACAAAGCAAAATTGCCTACTTAATTAAGTTGCATTATAATTTATAGTGCCTTGAGAACAAGGACATAAGACAAAGTAATTTATTCGTTTCACTCCACACTGTCTAGTAGGTACGTAACTTGCTAATATTTTAACAGCTTAAAAAAACGAATTGAATGTTATTCAACATTTGATGCACACAGCTATGAAAGCTGTAAAAAGTATTTTTATATAAACTCATATTAACATAAATAAAAATTAAGCAACAAACAATGTGTGTGCTTTATTATAAGTTATAAAATAATAGGTTAGGCTAAGTTACATTCAAATTTTTTTTTATGAAGTGTAGGTACTGAGTTTTTATTTAAAACTAATATTCTTATATTGTTATACTTCTAAATACAGTAGTTTTAAATTTATCATGTTCCGTATATACTATTTATGGGTTTTAAATTAATTTTAATTTTAATGTAGAGTAGGTGGGTAGGTACTTACAATTCATTTCCCAAACCACATTTTGGTCTTTTTTCTGGTCCCAAGTTTATGTCACAAAATTCGAACCCAGAAACACATTCTGTGTCTTGCCGGCATACTTGAACACTCTAAACCGATCAAAGTTTATCTTATATTATTAAGAATATCATTTATAGATTAATATTAATTATTAGCCAATAAGTTTACCGCCACTATAATAATATTATGGCTGTAATTACCCGACTTGTGTCCTTTTCAAGTTTAACCCGTACCAGCTGACCTGATACAAATAATAATAATTAATAGAAATATTATAGCAACAACTGTGCAGTGCACAATAATTCTTATTTTGAATTATGTTCTTCGATATGACGTAGGTATATATTATAATATTGTGTAGGAAAAATGTACCTGCGGCTGCGTGAAAACCAACGACGAGCAAAGCGTACAGCGGCAACGAGTAAACGTCAACATTTTTCATTAATAACATTTTGGAACGATATGACTTGATCGTTGTTTATTCTACTCGGCGACAATAATGCGTTTCGTTAAGCATAGCGTTCATGGTACGTACTCTTCGAAAACGTACGTACGAGTGTGATGTCATCGGGACGATAATAATATTTTAATATTATTTTATGTTAATAGTTAATGGGAGTAAAAATACACGCGTCATTATATGCTGGGCTAAAAAACCGGTTTCTGTGTCTCACTTCCCTGGTTTCGCCAAAACAGAAGCCGGCAATACAAAAATACAGACCAAGTATGGTACGACGTACTACTCGGATGAGCTCTATGGACCGGTCGTTGTGACAATAATAATATTATTGTTTAATATATTGCGTGTAAAAATAGGTATAGGTATTTAAATATGACGTACAACCTGCGTAGACATAATATTATGTCCGTTTCGTACCCAGTCGGTCATCGAGGAGCTTTTCGTCGGGACTGTGCGGTTAGTAATTTTATTTATTTTGATTTTATTGCAATTATTACTGCATTTTAAAGTAAAAAGCAAAAATCGCTCGAAATGTGTCCCTACTCCACTTTGATCGTTATTGATTATGTAACATAATTGCACACCACTGCTGCTATTATTATTATGGGCTTTTATGTTATGCCAATCGTTATTCTATTACATGAAAAAAAATGTATACACTTATGATTTAAACTGTAACAAATCGTGTAAACCGTAAATAATTTTACATCAAATATACATCTATTAAAATTATAATTAAAATCTAACAAAACTTAACAACCTATGTATTCAAATTTTGAAAGTTTATAATTCTAGGGAAAAAAACAGAAAAATTCATGCTCGTAGCCAACATATTTAAAACATTTATTTGGAATTTTGGATCATTTAGAGCTATGTTTTTCAACATTCTGAGCGGTGCGATAAATGTAATGATTTTTTGTTGATGTGTGCTTTTTTTTTGTCCACACAATTTGTGGTCAAAATAATGCTTCGATTTTAAACTTCTGTTTCTATTATGGTGGGAAAGTGACTCTATTGAGTTGGTACTTTTGAGAGGATATAATTAAAAATTCTTAAGCATTGGAAAAAATTCAAAAAAGAAAAAGTTCTACACAATAAAATGTTCAAAATATTTTTGACTCCTTTTAAGTAAGTTATTAGTAGGCATAAGACAATTTTGAATTGTATTTATTTATTTATTTAAAAAAAAATTAAAAATTGAATACAATATAGGATCCTCGTATTATTAAGTTGTTATAAATGTAATTTACAAATAAATAAATCTTAAATTAACAATAATTTCTTATGAGCGTTTAAAGTTCAATTTTTGTTGACATTGGATATTAACTCAAAAATTAACTTTTTAACCTCCAAACATTAATTTAATCATTTTCTATACATGATACAATTTTCAAAATATTTTTGCTCCTTTTTGGTTATTNATGGAACACGTGTGTGTTTGTTTGGCAGAATTTCTAGTGGGCACCCGTAGGTTTCTGCCATACCCGGTTGGGGGATGGCGGCCTCTCTCTCCAGACACCGTGACTGCCCGGAGAGAAGTGCCACCCGTGACCGAGATTCGAACCGGCGACGGTGCGCGTTGCGACCGACGCGTTATCCACTCGGCCACTCCGTCCCCCTTATGGGCATTTTTAATAGTTTAATTTTTTAATATAAATATAAATATCTACCAACAATTTATTTTTCGTTGGGTTAAAATGCTTGCAAATGTAATATAAAGTTCCTCATAAGTTGTTATTTCAGCAATTTAAAAATATTAAAGATACATGACCATACATAAGTACTTTAATGTTATAGGGGCAACCCGTATATTTAGTAATAAATAAATAATTAAATAGCCACGATTGTTGACAATTGAGTTATGACTTATGCCTTATGGCTTATGGTAAATATGGAACTCGTCTAAAAATAATGACATACAATTTTTTTTTTTAGCATTCATTACCAACTCCCCAATGGTTTCGTGGCTGTGACCAAACATACAGCTGATAATAGGAATATGTTTGTCTGAAGTTTGGCATATATATTGCATAGTTTAAATGCAGCCTTAGTTTAATAGTACTCCTAATAATAAATATTACATTAATATTCAATAAATAATATACTGAGTAAAACAAAAGTTGAAAATTGAAATAATGTTATTGAGCAAATTCTGAGCCATTATTTAATCAAATAATTCGTAAAATAGTAATGACCAGAAGCAGTTCAGTCCTTTCTATATCTATCGAATTGAGAAAATAGTTTAAACTTCGCCACGCCTTCATGGCATTGGATTTAATAATGGATCTCATATCTCATAAAGTAAGTACTTCATTAACTCGACAGAGTTGTAGACTATTAGACATTATTATGTCCAACACAATGATATGGGACTTGCAGAATTTTCAGAATAACTACGTAATATAGAAATTGATAGCTCAACTCCCGAGAGTTTGGAATATTCGTAACTTAATATAATAACTCAAACTTCTCAGCGCGGTTATCATAATATAGAAGTTATTAATTAGTTACGATTTTCAAAAATTAGTGAACCCGTGTTGGTGAGAAGTAGGTTTCTAAGTATAATACAGTTTGACATAAATATTAGGATATTCTTGACGTGTCCGCGGTTTTTTTTAAATGTATTAAATTTGGTGCTTCTGCATGAGTACATGGCTAAATGGTATACTAGCTAAATTGTATTAGATTTCATTATCGATGCTGGTAATGCCATCCAATATCTCCATCTATCTATGCTGACAGGGTTAATCAAATCTGAATTAAAAATTTCCGTCATTTGAGCTCAGATAAGTGACTACAAAGGATAAAACGTAATCATTTAAAATTAAATGCATTCAGAATTGATGGAATGTTAACGAAGTCGAGTGCGTGTGTTGAACACAAGAATAATTATAAGGTGCAAACTTATATTATTATCTTTGATCATAGTGTTCAGTACAGACGAAGTGGCAAACTTACAGTTATAGAGGTGTAAAATATATAGATATTCGCATTTTGATAAACTCTTGTAATTGTTTAGTTATTTTGGTACACATGTCATGGTTAATTATAAATTGAAAGTTAAACATTTAAAGTTAACACATATTATATAATATTTCTAATGGTAAAACCGAAAAGCTGCATTAAAGTACTGCAGCTGCTGAAGCTAAAATTACACGATTTAAGATTTCTTAAATAATCTAGTAATACAAGTAATAACTAAAAAGTTATTCGAGATTTGATAAAATATAATCATTACTTAAATTATTGTTTATAGTTGTTTTGATATACATATTAGTGGTTAATTATGGATTAAAAGTTAAAATTGTTTATGAGCTTGAATAATATTCCTATTTGTCCTGATGGCACGGCAGGTCAGTAGTTAAATGACATCTTGTGCGTTCACAGCTATCCATTTGAGGTACGAAGTGACTTTTGTGTAAACTCCGGGAATTCCAATTCCTCCACATTTAATGCCCCAAGACACTACTCCGGCATTAGTCCATTTTCCATCATGTCTTTGCATTAACAGTGGACCACCGGAATCGCCCTGAAATAGTGATGGTACGTTTGAAATGTTTGATATTGTTATAAGATGTATATGAGATACAAAAATAATATTATGTTTCTTTGTACCAAACACGAATCTTTGCCCCCTTCATACGACGCAGCACAAAGATTTGTTCTGGATATTGGTTGGGAAAAAGCTGAAACGCACTGGTCATGATCCCATATCGGTACTGTCACTTCTTGGAGAACGTTACTCACTTTACCACCGTACACTGTTTGGCCCCAACCTAATTAATAATTATGAAGTAAATTAGTTAACACTGTAGCTGTAATCTTTAAGTGTACATTTTGTACATCTTTTGGATACTTTATTGCGGGACATTCGTCTTCCAGAGTGGGCAATGAAAATGGTTTTAAGTAGGTAACAGGAATATTTTTTTGGTTTTAATTCATCAAATATTCCTGCTATGTAAAAATATATAATACATTTTCCATTGAATCTAACCGACCGATTATTTAAAATCTTAATAGCAGACGATGTGGGGTACATAATAATGTGATATTAGAATAATATATCTTTTAAAAAATTTACTTGTACAGGTACTCAGAATTCAAATAATAGTTACATACAATTTTAAAAATCATTATCGTCAGAGTTCTCACCGGCCACGACGGCATTTCTATTGTACACTTCCATGTTTGTTTTAGGCAAGCAAATGGGTCGAATAAACGAATTGTAAATTGTAGGTCTGTTCAACCTTACTATGGCGATGTCATTGGCGTGCGTAGCATGATCATAGTCTGGATGTAATCTAATATCTGTGACTCTGTAGTCAATGTATTGTGTCTCGTTATCAGTGGTGAAATCGTATTCACCAAGCCTAACAACAACATTTTCTTTAGAATATCTGAAAAATATAGGTTCACTGTTAAATACGATGCTTCGACCACATTGTATGAATTTTTTTTTAATAAACAAGTACCTATATAAAGACATTTATAGCGATGCTCAATTATATTTATACTCAACGTTTAGGTTAGGTAATAAAATGATGAAATGGTTTTCATATCAATCTAATTGTAGTTCGATTTGTATTATATTAAATATGATACCCATATTATTATACTGATACCCATATTTATTATTACAATATGAAGACGGTATAATACAATGATTAATAAGCAATATTTTATATAGCATTATTTTATATTATTTACTTAATTTTTTATGAATTTAATTAGAAATACATGATAAAGCAATGAGCAGCAGTCAACACAAATCGTCGATTAAGTAATACTCCACCGCAGAAATTCATATAGTTTGTCGTCTCTAAAAACACAGCCATCCATGGCCAATCATTGGCTTCAGCGTTTTGCACATTCATGTTGTTGGATAAAGACTTAGTGTTTTGTCCACATTCCGGTTCTTCGGGCAATGGTTTAATAGGCTCTGGTGCTGGTAAATCTAGAATTTTGTCCAAGTCTGATTCTTCATTATCGGTAGTCATAATTTTTTCTGTATTTAGCCGGATGACTTTATTGACAGGGCAGCAAAAGCCCATTGGTCTGAGTAAAATAAAATATATAATACACGATTTTAGAATCAAAAATGCTTTTTTAGATAGATAGAAAAACATGTGATATTATGCAAGCGCTGGTTCATCGTATGTACGGCTAAAAAAAAGGGAGAGGAATGATGGAGCACCAGCAGAACCAGTGTAAATCACCAACAGTCTGCTTCTGCTGAAATAAATGAACTACAAATCCTTTACTCAAATACTTTACTCAAATCCCTAATACGCAACAGCGAAACATCAATACTATTCATAAGACTTTTTAACTAAGGTACGAACATTTGTTTAATACTTATAACTGTATTTACGTCTGTAAATATTTGAAATAACTTTAAAATTAAAATTATTGTTCATAACACTGTCTAAATATATCTTCTTGTAATTTTAAAATGGCCTCAGGTGCCGATTTTATAATGATTAAATTTAAATACATACATATAGCTCATAATCTAAGACGTGTACATATATAACTTTGCTACATACCAATAAAGCATTAAAAAATTGGTAATAAATTAAATAATACCTACAACAGCCATACATTTTACTGGTGAAATTATAATGCCTCGAAAACAAGGATGCTGGACATTTATTCTTTTATACTCTGCAATTCTCAACGTAATATATTAAAAGCTCTAAATAACAAATTGAAATTTGTTGAACGTTTCTTACAAAGCTGTAGAAAGTATTTTTCTATATAAATTCATGAAAATAATTTTCAAAATTAAATAACAAAAAAAAATTGGATTTTTAAATAATATTATAGTTTCTAAACAATATACCTATATTCAAAAATATATTTGAAAATATATATTTATAAATATACTACATTTAAAAATAATATATTATTAAAGATATTTTTTAAATGCACATTTTTATTCAATTATTATTTCAATTATTATTATTATTGCAAACTCTAAAATGCTTCGTAATATTTACATATTTTCTAAAGTGTGATAAACATTATGTTTATACAACATTTATATGAATTCACAAGTTCATATAATAAGTGTATTTTTAAACAGAGAATACTATTACAGCTAAAAAATATATTACATTTTAAAACGGTTCCTACATTTAGTAATAATAAATTTCCGAGTTTTGATAATTTTTTTTTACAATAATAGTAAATGTATTACACTACTTTTATAATATTTATGATTTTGAATAAGTATGAATTTTAGTGTATTTTACTCACAGTTCATTTCCCAAACTACATTTTTGTTGATTTTGTGGTTCCAAATGTACATCACATTCGAACCTAAAAACACATTCTGTGTTTTGGCGGCATATTTGATCTCCCTAAAACAATTAAAAGTGATAAAATCATAAGTATATTATTATAATTTATATTTTATACAAACTAGTCAATGAGTTTAATCGTCATACAAATTATATTACAATCATTACCTGCTGTCTCCTGTTCTTTTCTTATCTGGTCCTTACCAGTTGACCTGATAACAATGACGGTTATAATTAATAAATTAATCGACTACAATGAACAATTATTTTGAATTAAATTTTATAAATATTCGTGTAATTGTGCATAAAAAAACTACCTTCAGTGGCGCAAAGACCGACGACGAGGAATATGCTTAGTGGTAACAAGTAAACGTCAATTTTTTTTAATAGTAACATTTTAAAACAATAAGTTGTTCGTTGTTTTCATCTCAGGAACAATGTGTTTTGTTAAATAGGTATGGCGTTCATAATGCGAGCTCTTTAAAAATGTATGAACGAATGTGATGTCATGGGAATATAGGTAATAATAATGACGAATAATCATTTGTTATTGGGATAGTAAAAATAAACGCATTTAGTCAATCGTTCAAAATGTATCTCCCCACAACGTGACTTCAACACGACTTTTATCGTTTGATAATACTATTGCATACCACTGGCCACTGCTACACAGATACGGACTGTCAGGCGTATTGACTATAGTTATTCTGTTATAAAAAAAAAAAAAAAAACTGAAATAAAAAATATAAGTAGGTACATGATATTCAGCAAACAAAGCAGTGTTCACACATACAATATATAATCGAAATTATAATTGGACTGTATCAACGTTTAACAATTTTTTTTTTAATTAAAAAAAAATAGAAAAATATAGGCTCCTATGACAAATGTTATGCAAAATGTTTAGTTTGTATGCACACATTTAGCTACATCTATTCGGCATAAATATATAATTGACCGAAACGGACATTATTGGATTTTAAAAACTGAATGGGTAGCACATCTCATATGTCATCGTGAATAATACAAAATGAGTTTCTTAAATGAATTCATGAATTCATGATGTATTAAACATTTAAACGATAAACAACTTTTTATTTAGGTATACACAAAAATAAAAAAGTCACCAAAAACACACACTGGAAGTGTTTTTTCGTATAGTAATATTGCCGTCGTATACTTTTAGAAATTGTGTATAAAATGCAGGTAGCAGTATTCCAAACGATAAAAGTGGAAAAGTCACTTGGTCTGAAGATATAAATTTTATTATTTTCAGCGATCAATTTCAACCGGTGCATCGCGATATCGTGGCATATATAATGCACGAGTGCATAATTTACACATCGCATTAATTTTGTTGCGAGGACGTTTAAATTATTTATGCTAAAATCATAAGTTTTCAATCATTTCGGCTGTAAAACAAATTAGGCACAGGTAATCAAGTGGATAATTTTAATGGATTCGGTAAGTTAACTACACAATATTACAAAACTATTATAATTTATTTAATGACGTGCGATGGCACTGATTATGTAACTATACTTACTTGTTTAAGTAATAAGTGTAGATAATATTATTTTTTTTTTAGTTTTCACTAAACATTATCAGCTCCGTGATGATTTCGTAGCAGTGACCAAACATACAGCTTACATAGACACATGGTGTTAATTTATGCGAATTTTCGCATATTACGTGTATACTGCTAAGGTGAATTTCTCAGTTTAAATTATTGTACCCAATAATAAATATCATTTTAATATTCAATAGGTAAATACATAATGTTATGTAGTAATATAAAAGTAGTAAATCAAAATAATATTGCAGAGTCATTAAATTGAAATGAATAAATTTTAAAATTATGATATTATAACCCGAAACAACTGAAACAATTAATTCTTCCTTGTCTCGAAAATTAAAATCATTATGATTTCAGGGCATTGGATTTATTTAAGTATGTCATTTCATTAAGAAGGTATTTCATCAATTCATCACAGTTGAGTAGTTGACATAATAACTCAATGATGTTATGTAACGTGTCGTGTTTTCAGAATATAACTATACTGTGCATATCGATAGCCCAACTATAGAGAGTTCGAAATATTCGACATTTACTATTAATAATACAAAATCCTCAGTCTAATTAATGAAAATTACCAATAATTAGGTAGGATTAGGGTAACCTAGCCCCACTTTTATGTTATCTACCTGAGATGGTGAGAATTAAATAAAATACTGATGGACACAAACTTAAAGGAATGGCGTATGATGCATACACTCAAATTAGCTTATAGATGATGCAATACAATTCATCACATTTTTTAGTAGGTATGTCTTTTACCTGTTTTGTTATAATATTGTTACTACACTTGAAAATATTTCAAGCAAAATTAGCAAAATTAGCAAAACACTTGTATAGAATAATTCATAAAGTATAACGTAAACACTAGTATATTAATACCTATAAATGTACAACAACACATCGGTACCTGCAATTTATTGAATATTTTTTTTTATTGATACTATTTGAGACCATAAACGACACGAAACTATATCGATAAAAGAAATAATTAATAAATATTTTTTGCTTTTGAAAATATAAAATAGCACACAGGTACATAGGTGCATTGTTAAAAAATACTTACACTGTTTTCAAAATGTGCTGTGCTGAAATTATTTTTATAGGAAGGCGATTTGGGACTTTCGTATCAATCAATATAAAGTACCTAACCTACCATACACGATTTTCTATTTGATCACCAATTTTTTTTTTTTTTTAATAACAGACACAAACGTATGTCGATTCCACTCGAGTTCAGCACGGGGCGTTGGTTAGCTCTGGGAAAAGAATTGTGCGAAGGGCTGACGAAGGAAAAAAAAATAACCTCTAGAGTAGTATTAATATACACACACTGATATCATACACAGGGTATAAAATACTTTTGGTTTTTATTGCGGCACTGCTGCCATAATAAGATGTCATTATGTTTTTGTTGCCTCGCATGGCATACAACAATATGCAGTAAAAATCATAGAGGTACGGTATTTCGAATAACAAAGCCATGTATGCTAAAAAAACATTATAATACGAGTTTTCAAACGCAGAAATAACATTTTTGTTTTAGTTTTAAAATTGGTATTTTATATTGTGAAGTCGATGTTTAAAATATTTAAATTTTCTTCAAAACGTTTTAAGCCACGTAATTTAAAAAAAAAAATGTCCACAAGCTACGTCGGTATAAAGATTGCTTTTTTATTAATATATATATATTGACTAATATGTATATATACTTGTCCTTTGGGGTCCTTGAGCTCTTCATTAAGACCACTATGATCAATACTGATATGCAAAATAAAATAATTAAGCATTAGAACGAACGAAAACCGTTTTTTTTTTTTGTTTAAACTTTATAGTATGTATACACCTTAAAATGTATTTTCCCGAAAAGAATAAAGTCATTAATCTTTTGAAAAAAATACTTAACACAACACTAGCGTTTTATTTTCCAACGTCTTTGCGGCCCAACTACAATATACGTTTAATTAGGCCCCGAAGCTAGAAAAGGTCTGCACGCACTCACACAGTACAGGTACATGATAATATATGTATATGATGTATATTATTACCATGAGTGCGTTTACAACAAACGGTTCAAGTTAAAACAACAATATGATGTTAATTAAAGACATTTAAAAAAAAAAAAAAACAACTGGTCGGCCAAATCATTGCGTTCCTCACCGAATATAACAATATGCAGACTCGGTACACGATCACGATAAGTACAATAATATTACATCTATAGAATGTTATTTTAACGCGCGGCGTGTACAGTAAATTCCTTCAGATGGCGTGTATAATTGCATATTATATTATGTCGTATAAGGATATAGGCAAGTCGAAAATTTTCTACGCGTCTGCGGGTACACAGAAGTTCAAATAGGACATAGAAAATAATATAACTCATCGAACAGTTATTATAAACTTTTGCGCGCGCATCTACAATTCAGTATACAACGGGTTAGACAAGAGCTGCTAAATAATAATGTACAACTAATTGGCTGTTTGGACCGTAATGAATCGAATTCACAGGTCAATCGAAGCGATTCCGTTTTTATTTGCCGTTGATTAGGCTGCTAATCAAAAATAATAAATATGTTTTCCCAATTAGTTCACGGCGGCGGCGGCGCTGCGTTACACCCAAACGACAAAATCGATGCACAACTATAGGTTAGGTACCCAATAATCAGTAACATGAATCTTCGACGATTTAACAGTGTTGAGACCAGTATATAGAAGAAGTGGAGCAGTCAGGAATTTTAAGGGTTGGAAATAACCAGTATTATGTGTAAATATGTAAATAATGTTATTTCTTTGTCTTATTTTTAACTTATTAATACTATAACGTCAACGTCATAACACCGTACTGTATTAATTTATGGCAACCTAAATATAAATAGATGTTTAAAAACAAGTTTTATATATTATAAATTTTGAAAATTAGATTTAAACTAAACAATATTATACTATAACAGTAAGTTATAAATTAGATTGTAGTGTAATATCAACTTGGTAATCACAATAAAACTTAACTATTTCTTAAAATATCAATGTGGTTTACAGTCCATATTAAGTAAGTTCTGGCAACTGTAATTTTCATACATTTTTAGATTTACATAAAACTTAAGTTTGTTTTAATATTTGCAGCTCACTAGATAATACCTAATATTACATAAATTTATAATATTGTATACACATGGTCACATGTTTTTAATAAATTAAAACATGTGTCAATAACTTACATATTATTTTGTCATAACAGTATATTCCTGATAAAATAAACTATTTATAATAATACAGCACTGATCAATAAAAACTTTTAAAAACCGCTGTGTAAATTGTTAGATAATTTATTACTTGTCTGTTTTTATTATGTATTTGTTGTACACGTGTAAAAGTACGTCATATTTTATCGTAGATGTTCATAATAATAACTACATTAAATTTATCATTTAAATGTGTAATTAAAAAAAAAGTTGATATAACTCAAACAGTATTTTTTTAAAACTAATTAAACACAAAAGCATTATCAAGTTAATGAGTATTAAAACAATATCAAATAATATCATAGTATCATATGTTCATTCGAGATTAAAACTTCGTTCTTCTATTATAGGTAAGCAATCATTTAAATTTATATCATAAAAATAACATGATGATTTATATCAGAAGCGTGGCAAGGATGTTGCTGGGGGTGGGGTGAGGGGGGTATGATAATATTTTGTTATATTGTGAAATGCAACAATAGTAACTTGCATCATTTTTATGGGGCGTCTAACTCTATTTTATATCGGTATAACCATAGATTGGAGTTCCCTAATCTGTGGTATAAGATAATATTTGAGCTAAATTTTTACAATAGGTATATACAATTCAATGATTATGGGGTGACTCCTATGAAAACGGTTTGCTTCTACCTTATGTTTATATATTACAAACAGTGGTATCAGTGGACAGTGTTGACCTTAATTTTCGTTTGATAATAAA